AAGGCCTCCCTGATAGCCCCTCCCCCTGGCTGTCTCCCAAGCTCAGCTGCCAGCATCCAGCAGTGATCATCTCTCCTGGGGGCTGTCTCCATCCTCCCTGCACCCCATCTCTCACCTGATCTGCAGGCCCAGGGTCAGCGTCCGGACGGTGATCTGAAGGGAGCAGAGTACGGAGCCCCAGGAGGGCAGAGCTAGAGCAGGCTGGGGGACTAGAGTGTACAGACAGATGTGACGGGATGGGCTTGAAGGAATAACTGGGGGCGGCCAGGCAAATGAGGCCACCTGGAGGTAGACAAAGTGAGATCGGAGGGCTGCTCAGGCCAGCAGGTGCATCTTAGGCCAGAGCTTGCCCCAGAAGAGCTGCCAGACCTGACTCTGGAGGCCACAGGCACCCCAAGGGGCCCCTGGTGGTTAGTGCCACCCCAGCCAAGGGCTTCCTCTGACTTGACACAACCTAGGGGGCCCCTCAGCCCCTGGCTCCGGGAGGCGGGAACAAGGAAATGTAGGGGTGAGAAGAGCACAATAGCGGAAACATGAGTCCTCTCTCCAGGTGTGGGGGGCGGTGAACCCCCACCTGAGCTGGGGGGCAGTGAACCCCCCCCCCAGCTGGCATCTCTGCAGCAGGCGGAGCTGGGTGTGGCTGGCTCCCAAGGTATGCATTGTGCTCTGTGTGCCCACGCCGATTTCCAGAGCCACAAAGGGCACATTCAGGCGCGGGGTGGCCAGGAGCAGAGCCTGGGCGTCTCAGCCTCGGGATCACACGCCCCAGGGCCTGTCAGACCCGCTGCCTGGTCCCTGGGGTGCGTGAGTAAGGGTGGGGTGGCCCCCTCTGTGTCCTGGGTCCCCAGATGACACCTGATGTGCTCCCTAGCTGCTGGGCACTGGCTGGACTTAGTGGGCAGATTCGGGTAAATGTCGCTTCTGTTGAGGGACCCTGGAGCTGAGTAGGGACAAGGAGGAAACCCTGGCTGTGGGGTGTGGCCGCCCTCCTGAGCCCGTTCCCGCACTCAAGGGCACAGTGGCCCCGTGGTCAGGTCGTTTGAGGCTTAGGTGAACAATTCAGTGCAGAGGGAGGTAGGGTGTTATTCACTTCGTGTGAATGTTCAGTGAACGTCCATTGTTATTTTTAAAGATTTATTTATTCATGCACATAAGAGCTGGGATGCAAGCCAGATGTGTAAGGGGTGAGATGATCCCCAGAGACAGAGCGGGGAGCAGAGTAGCCCGATTTCCTGAAGTGCACTGCTGAGGGGGGCAGTAGAGGGGTCTGCTGTGCCTTTGGGTCCCTCCCTGGCAGGGGTCGGACTCTTGCTGCAGTAGCTGTGGACAGCTTCTTGTGCTGGAACTCACCCCTGCGCCCCGAGGGAGGGCCTGGCCGTCCCTTAGTAATATCGCTGTTCACAGCATTCGTACAAACACCTGTTACTGAGAAATCCCATATGTGGCCAGTGCCCCATGGCCACCCCAGCCTCAGGGCTGAGTGACATTCACCTGCACCCCTGAACCAGGGCTGGCCCACGTTCCACACGCTGCACCCCAGAAGCCACGTCCTCTGTTCAGAGAGTGAGGACCCCACTGTGACTTCCTGTCATGGGGGCCCCCGAGGTCATCCCCACGGAGGACGAGGGTGAATATGGGGGACCCCAGCAGGCCCACGCTGGGAGGGGCACTTGGTCTGCACCCCCCCCCCCGGCCCCTCACTGTTCCTGGGGCTTTCAGAACCACAGCGGCGGGGGGAAGTGTCCGCAAGCACAGCAGGAGTGGCTGTGTGTGCACTGACCGGGGGAGGGACAGTCTGGGCCCCCTCGTCCATTTTCTTCAGTTGACCACAGGCCACAGCGAGGCTTGCCGCTGCCTGGGACATGACAGTTCTCAGAGGGGTGAGGGAACGCGCCATCTGCCCTATCTTGCTGGCCGACTTCTGGCCTTGGGAAGGGCACCCTCACAGTTACAGGGTACCTTCCACCCCAGAACTCACAGACACCTGCTCAGGCCCACCCTGCGCCTGAGGAGAGCCCAGGGGCCAACTGTGTCTGCTGGCCTGGTGGCCGGCATCCTGGCGACTGGGCTCTGGGGGAGGGGTGGGGAGACTGCAGAGTGGGGTCCCCTTGGGGCCACAGGATGTGATCCTGGGACTCAGCTCTCCAGCTAGTGACATGGGATTTTAGCTGCTGCCCCATGACTGAGCCAGTCAGCAGGGAGTGGCTGAGGGGGTTTAAGGGGAAGTTTGTGAAACAGCAGTGGCCACTGGCCAGACAGGGTGGTGCTCTGGGGGTGGCTGGAGCCAGAGTGGGCCCAAGCATGGCGGGGGGCACTCCCCGAGGGCCGTGGGGGCTTGCGGGGAAGGTTGTCGGCGGAGTCTGATCTCGGGCTGGAGTCTGAGACGTATTCAGGTTGTACTGTGGAAGGTCAACATTCGTGTTTCTCACATAAAGACTCAGCCTGAATTGCAGAACAGGATACATACAAGGAGGGGCTCCCTCGCTTGGGCCGAGCGTATTGGGTCAGGCTCCCCCCTGTGGGCTGCAGAGTGTCTCACTGCTGGGGGGCCTTGGGCTGTGTCCTCCCCACAGGGTCGCAATGGGGGTGCCCAACTCCTGGCAAGGTCATGCTTCCTGGGGGGGTGGCCGCTCGACTGTCCGCTGGCCGGGTCCTCCTCTTCTAGTGGCATCGTGTCTTCTTGTGGCCGTCAACTGTGGAGTCCGTCGGATCTGTTACTGGGAAAGGGAGAGGGGTCCTCGAGTGCCCTGACCTCTCTGCTGTCCAGCGAGTGGCCCCACGGCCCTCCTCAAGCCTGAGTGGGCATCCCTCACTTTGCATCGGACAGCCCCTGAAATGCACAGCTCAAGATGGGGGCGGTAAGGACGTGTACTCGGGAATAGGGCTGCAGTTTGTTCCACAACCACCCGTGCCAAGGCCCTGGGCCCTTCCCCACACAGCCTGAGCCCCCTGCCCTCAGGGAGCTGCCTTCCAGGCTGTCCATGTGTCTCCTCCTGTTCAGGGGGCTGTGGCTGCCCGCTGATGAGCCCATTCAGTTTCTGGAGGGTTGAAGTGACTTTCACAAGTGAACCAGTGCTGCCTGCTCCGAGAGCCCAGAG